TCCAACGGCCTGGGCTGCGACAATGAGCCCCTCCAAGCGTCGAGACAGCTGCCCGGGGCCCCAGTCCTACATCTGCACCCCGTTGGAAAATGGTGGTTCAATGGTGACTTCAATGGTGGTTCAATGGTGGTTCAATGGAGATTTATAGTGATTAAATGGTGACTTCATGGTGATAGAGACAATAATATGTCCTTTTGGTAAAAATAGAGGGGCCGAGAGCTGGTTAATCCCATCTATCATTTAGAAACCTGTTGTTAAAGGGGAAACCTGAAGAACCCCCTCTTTTTTCATCAACCAACCAATGGGAATTTGGGACATCTGTGGATAGAGATTTATAGTGATCAAATGTTGATTTCAATGGTGTTTTTTTGTGGTAGGTGAATGGAGATTTCATCAAATATGGATTTATGGAATGATCATCCATGCGAATTTCTGCAAGCCCATCTTCTGTTCGTTAAATTTAAACAATGTGCGCTTGGCAAAACCAGACTTTTCTTGTTCAAGTTGGGATTTTCCATATTCATTAGCTGGCTGATCATGGAATTCTGGGAGCCATCATTGAGATTTTCTAAGTCAGTTATTGAATAACCCATTCCCTAAGTTTCCAACCCATTCGGAACTCCGCGTGTCATGGTGAAATCGCTATTTTCGATGGTGAAATCCTCCTTCCTGGCATGGCCGCTTTACTTTTTGCGTTGTGTGTCTCACTTAAATCCCCTAAATAGACGAAATGTCTGGCTTGAACCCTGGAATTTCATGCTTAGTACCATGAAAGTTTGATTTATGAATGGATATATGTATATGCATAGTATATGCACATAATGTATACATATACAATAATATATGGTGTATCATAGCCATAACCTATAATAGATACACGATCGATATCCCATCACTCATGTGAAGATATCCCATGGTTAATTGTTGTTGGATGTACTACCATGATAAACCCATGATGGCGATTAAAGAATATAAATGACATCCCCAGTATTCTCATTAAACCCCAAGTTGTCAGCCAGCAATAAAGGGGATTTTCTGTAAACAGTAATGGTCGAAAATCCCAGTAATTCCCGTGTAGTACTACTGAATCCGAGTATAACTATGAAGACGTCCCTTGATTGTTAGGTATATAGATTTCCTACCAATATACCCACGATGGTTGTGAGATCATGAATCATCATACATCCGAAACATCCTGCCAATATATCCTATGAATTTTGATTAATACCATTTGCTATCAATATAATGTATCAACAAAGTTCTATACCTATGATGGTTATTTGATCATTCATATCCCCATTTTCCCATTATATTTCAATGATATTCCCATGATATTCCCATTAACTATCGGTAGCCTCATCATGTATCGCCATTATAGTACCATGTATAATATTCCCATTAAAAACAAGTAACTGGTTATTCTCAATTACCCTCTGGTAAACTAACATAACTATGGAAAATCACCATGTTCAATGGAAAAATCCACTATTTCTATGGCCATTTTCAATAGCTATGTTAAATTACAAGAGGGTACAATCCCATTATTCACCCATAGTCTATCATTATTCTCCCACAATATCCCCAGGATCTTTCTATATGGCTGGATATGAAACATTAAGCGGTCATCCTCATTACATTCCAATTATGTTCCCATTACATCCCCATCATATCCCATTAATTATATCCCCGCATATCCCCATATACTCCCATCATATTCCCACTAGGTTATGTACCCATGATGGTTATTAATTAGAACATATTATAAATACATATACACATCATATCCCCCATTAAAAATTCCATTAAAAAAACGGCACTCTTCTCCCATTCACCATCAATATCCACATCATAATTGTTGAAAATGGCACCTTTATAGTTGATTTACACATTAATAGCATGGTGATTTTCCATAGCTATTAGCTATGTAAACGTTTACCAGGCCGGATATCCTATTTTTCTCTCATTACCATCAGTGATTTCCCCCAGTGATCTTCCCATTCTATTCCCATAGTCCAATGATTCTCATGAGTTTCACACGAAAATTCCTATGGAATTTCCCACGATCAATATCCACATCACATCTCCTCTGTTTGGTGGTGCAATAACCCTCTTGAAAAAATGATGGAGCTCGTCAATGGGTTTCGGATGGCATGCCATATATATATAGTTATATATATATATATGAAATGGAAAATAGCCAATTCATGTTTGAAACCACCAGAAATTAAGATCCATGAAGATTCCCATGGGAATTCCCATCTGGTTGGTGGTATACCTACCTCTCTGAAAAATGGTGGAGTTCGTCAGTTGGGATGGTTATTCCATTCCCAATATGATGGGAAAGTCATAATCCATTCCATGGTTCCAGTCACCACCAACCAGATCATCATCATATTCCCATTGTTGTTGGTTTATAGCCTATTAACCACTATTAACCACTATCCTAAATTCCCATGGGAAGTCCCATAAATTTCACCATGATCTTCCCACTAAACCACCATCTCTTCATCTCTTTCCACAGCCGCAGCTCGCCTGCCAGGCTCGCCGCAGCTCACGGCGAATGCGCCGCTTCCAGGGCAGAAAGCGCTTCTTGCGCCAGGGACGCAGGCGCCTGGGAGAGATGGTTCGCTGATGGGTTAATGATGGGCAAAGAATGGGGTTTTGAATGCTTAATCATAGTGAATCATGCTGAATTAATAGTGGTTAGTAAGTTTCATAGAAGTTAGTCTTTAGTAGCAAAATGATGGTTTAAGAATGCTAGTGATTGATAACGGTTTGAGTACTGGTTAATGATGGCGAATCAGTGTTAGTATTGGTTGGGAATCCCGATTAGAGTGGTAAATTTAATTTCGAGATTAGTTTTTCATGGTTGAGTTACAGTAGATTTGCCTGAGATGGCCCCCCAAAAGAAAGTGTTCCCCAATATTATGTTCAAAGGGGAAATAGAAAACACCTTCAGCAAATCCAATTTAATAGGGACATCAATAAAAAATCATCTACAAATAAGCTATTTTCCATGGCAAACTGTGAAATGTCCACATTTTGTCATCGCCATTTCCCAAATATTTGGGATGACCCTCGCAGCTCCACCTTGAACAATGCTGCACCACTCCCTGCAGTCCCAGCAGTTGGCAGAGGCGCCACAGCGGTCGGCGCCGCGTCTGGGGCCTCCAGGACTACACAACCAACAAAAAATGAGGATTTCACCGAGTTCAAAGTGCTGATTGGAGTTGATTTGTAGGTTTCCAATCCATGGGGGGAACCTCTAAATCATCCATTTTAGATCATTGTAGCAGTATTTTCCATTATAAACCATCCATTTTCGGATACCCCCATGTATGGAAACCCCCATTGAGGATTTTTTGGGAAAAACACATTAAAGAACGATTGACCCAAGCGAATTGAACCATTGTTTTGGGGACTTGCTCCAACAATTTCATTTTGGAGGGGAATATTGAGACATTTTCAGCCGAGAAAAACATCAGCATTAAGGTGACCGCCAGACATATGGAGGAAGCCTAGAAGATTGTGCCTACTGGCAACAAACAAGCCATGTTGGTGGATTGGAATGCGCCTCTATTTTGCGACATACCCTCTGGTAAACGTTTACATAACTATGGAAAATCACCATTTATAGTGAATTTTCCCATGAAAAATGGTGATCCATAGTTATGTTAAATTACCAGAGGGTAGATCACAGGAACATCCACCCTAGTGTTTCATCCGAGCACCCACGGGCCGATGAAGGCCTTCCTTCCACATGCGGTGTAGCCACGCGACCTACACACCAATGGAAGATGGGGATATCCAGGAACCTAAGGGATATCACCAACACGAATGGACAATTTTAAGATACGTTAAGCATCACTCTGGGACTTTGCCAACAGAATTGGATCCCAAGTTGAACACGGTAGATTTGAGGCAGCAGTTAATGGATCGGCATGTGCAGCACTGAGGGATTTCACTTCTAGGGAGGGCAAAGGGACATGGTCTCTGTCCAGTACCATGTTGCGGACAACCAGTTCTAGTCCCAGGAAGTCACTCTGATATCTGTGTGTGAACAAAATGGGTAAGGATGTTTTGACTCAGTGACGCATGAAACCATAGATTTTGTTGTTTAAAACGCATTGGGATCTTCCCAAATGCAGCATGTTCCCCAGCTGGGTATCTAAAATGAGTCCGTCTTGGAGATCTTCACCAAACATCCTAGGAAACAATATAGGCATTGGTGGGACGATAAATCCTTCACATCCCAAAAATAAAGAACAAGATAGTCTTACAGTAGCTGGGATGTTCTCTATTTTATCCCTTCAGAACTCCTGTACCTTTTTTGCTGGGTTATTATATATACTATGATTAAATCGCCACTAACCATTGATTTCCAGTAACCATTTGCCATTGACCATTAACCATTTAAATATACTATGGTTTGATGGCTATACAAGCTATACACCATCAATTTCCTTCAAACTCCGCCACATTGCACCCTCTTCACCTGCCACCCTCTGTCCACATGTGCCCCGTGTAACGGGAGCTTCGACAGCACCGAGCGGAAAACGCCATGTGGGTGACGCTAAGTAGGGCATGGAAGGTCAAGAAACAAAGCTTTATGAGTTGCATGATCTTATGAAACAATGTTGGTTAATGTGGGGTACACTGGTACACATAATCAACCATCCCTAATATTACCATGAATGGTTTCCACATGTTTCAACCATCACCCCGGTTTATTGGATATTGGTAGTGTTTAGGATGTTAAAGATATTTTTGGGTGTAGAACACTTACTTAACATCATGGGAGCTGCAACTACATTTTGGGGTACAGCATTCGGTGGACAAACCACTGTTAAAACTGGGCATTGTATCCCCCAAACTCGGCATTTCCGTGGAGAAAATTATGATAGACCTATGGGATTTTGGGTACAATGTGAGGCCCCCAAGATAGCTAGGGCTTCTAAACCAGCTTATAACTGGGGGGCCTCACATTGTACTCTATTCTCAGACAAACTCATTTTGCTTTCTTCAGGCACTGTCCCAAAGCTAACCTTCGAGTCTTTCACCAGTCGACTCGATTTGAACCAAGCACGGCTTGCTGGAAATCCCCAATTGAACCATGCTGAGCTTTCAGGGAGGGTAAACCCTCTTGGTGGTTGACCTATTTAATTAACATCAAAATCCGCGTTTTCTTGTCGGCTTTGTTTTTTGTTTTAAAGACTTATTCTCACGCATGATCGTCTTAACACAGATTTCAGGGATTCACTCCCCTATGACTGGCTTGGGAGATCTCTACCCTGGCGGTTAAGAAGGAGCAGGCTACGCCGTGTGTGGGTAGTGAAAACCAGGTATTTTTGAGATATATATACGTACCTCTCATTGATGTCAAACCCTTTGTTAAATTTGGCATAGATACCCTCCAAAAAAAACAAACAACTTGGCTGTGTAGTATATACCCCCAGTCACGTCAACAAAAATATAACATTCAAGTACCTAACCGAGGCTTACCAATATGTTTGTCAACCAAGAAGCATTGGACAGTCCTCCACTGAGGATACCGCTTTTGTGCTATACCGGCTATACCCTCAAACATGTTTTATGTTATGCATTGTTATGCTGTATCACGTCAAAATCTTGTAGCCACTGTAGATTGGCCTCTTGGGATGTGCATATACTGTCTGTTGGATAATCTCCATTGTTGATGAAATCCCCCATTGCTTGATGATTCAAAATCCTGAGCCATTCAATTCAAAGATACACAATTCATTACAATTACATAGCCTCGAAACTGAATGGCTTTCTACCGCCGGTACGTACAGGTCGATTGGTACTCCACTATTGAAGTCATAGCCATTTGATCAAACCTTCCTAGAAATGGTTGAAACATGTTGAAATGGAATCAAAACAGAAAACATCAGAAAACCATTTTAACATATATCAAACCTAATATAAAACCATATAAAACCGTTTTAAACATCTTTAAACCATATTAAACCCATTGACTCCCATTGATCAAAACGCTGGTTTCCTGACAGTTGAAATCCCAAGCGGTGGCACAACGTGGCACCTGATGACTAAGAGCTGATGCAGCGCCAAGCGCTTGACATCCGCCTGTAGGGTGGAGATTTGACCGAGAAAAAGTGAGATACTTTGGATGATCTTATGATGAGAATGGCCCAGTCGAAATAGTGGTTAAATGATGGTCAATAGTGGATTAATAGTGGAATAATTGTGGGTAAACATACAAATAGCTATTGAACATGGCCCAGTCGAAATAGTGGATTTACCCATTCATAGCATGGTGGATTTTTCCATAGTTAGGTAACGTTTACCAGAGGATATCTTGTGAGAATAGTTGGCAAACTTTGGATTTTCGAATCATTGGCATTTTTAGTTTGACATACTGATGGTCAAACATGGGGGGTCATCGGCATTCTGAAGAAATCTGGCTGAAATTGTGGCATCGCACCGGGTTCTCCCCGAGTTGGACGACCGTCCTTCGGCGCGAACGAGCGGTCGGCTACGGAGTCAGCATCCTTCGATGCGTGCCTTCCCAGTCTTCTATGCTCCCTCAGAACTTCGGCTTTGGCGCACCGGGACAATCCTGTGAATTTGTAAATCTCTCAAAGTTGTTGTAACTGAGAAGGAAAAACATGACGATTAACATGAAGATAAAGATGTTGGGCGCCGGCATTCCATGTCAGGAACCATTGAACGAAGTTCATCGAATTTCCAATATCACTGAAATTGAAGATGCACATAAAGACAGGGAAAGCATGGAAAAAACTGGACATGGGAAGAAAACATGAACTAGAAAACTAAACATGAACTTTGGGCTAGACTATATACGTATAGTTACTGCAGGATGGTGCCCCCCAGTTATAAGTTGGTTTAGATTCACCCCATTAACTAGTTCCGTATATCTACCATAATAACCATAGTTACCATAGTGAAATGGGAGTTATATTCACCAACTTAGCTAACGAACTGGGGCACCATTTTTTGTGTGCAGCACATTCTTTTCTCACGATCGCCAAGCAGTTGGCTTTGCCATGAGACGTCTTGTCTCGCCATTAAACATAGGTTCTAGCTCTGAACCTTCCACTTGTTTTATTTCCTCATGGTAGAGGATTTTATTTTTCCATCCCAAAAACCGCATGGCAGCAGTATGCACTTTGTAATCCCCTGGTAGGGAGGCCACTTCCATTCTTGTCAAAACAACCAAGCTCCTGCACGGCAAAAATAAAATCTGCCAGCAAATGAATCCACGCACCCAAACGAAGAGTCCATGTTTACGGCACAGTAAACGTTTTTAAGTTATAGACACGTAGAAATAGCTCTGTATGTGCAGACAGCTTGATTGAAGGGATAAAACTCAGCCCATGGCTAATATATAAACGGGCTACGCGGGAAGATTCCCAGCGCCCACGGATAAGCGCCAGCTCCATAGAATTGCTTTGCTGAAACAAAGCGGTGGCTCCTCCTCTCCTGAGGCTATAAGGTCTGAAGTTAAACTGCTGTAGACCCATTAGTTCGCACAGGGTTTTAAACCGAGAGCGAAATTGAGCTGCGGTCTTGGACCACAGGGGCAGCGCTATCGTTCCCAGGTCTTTACGACTCATCACCAAGGATCGAAGGAATTCCAGCACAACTGTATCAGTGACACTAATTGCTTCATCAGCATTGTGGCGAAGCCCGGTTTTTGTTCCCTTGAGTGAGATAACTGCCGCATCTGTACCTAAAGCAACATCTGCAGCTGTAAGAGATAACAGTTCACCAGTTCTCAACAAACAGTGAAACCCAACCAGAAGTAGCACAGCCATTTCGTAGTTTTGCTGTTCCCATTCATAGGATGCCATGCTATCAACCAGAGCCCACGTGAGCGGTGGGGCTCGTGATGGAATTTCTATTTTTCGCCAAACAGCAAATAGCTTCCAACTGTGGGGTATTTTTCGGCGCGTCCACGGCTGGAAGAAGTGTAATGCACTTAAGCCATCACCTATAGTTAAGAGAGGTTCGCCAGAAGCCACATTTTGCGAATCCAGCGACACAGTAGAGCATCTAAATGGTCCTCGCTTTTTGCGAGCTCGACAAAACGAACCATCTTTTTCAATGCACTGTAGTATCTCACTTGAGTCTTATGAGTTAATGCAGCTTCATCCAAATGGATATGCGCCCTTTGACGACGTCTTTCTGCACGGCTGAAACGGCCAGCAATGAGACGTGGTTTCCTAGGCACGTGAACCCTCATCAGATGGATTCTCCCTAGAATCAACGTGTGCCACAATTAATTGCAGTCCATGAGCCAGTAAATGCGCTGAGAGCTTGTTCAAAACTCGCTGAAGTTGTTTGCTACTGCTACGTCCTTTGCTTGTAACACTCATGCAAATATACGAGTCAGTCAACTGAAAAATTCGCATGTCTTGTGCTTTGAAACGATGAATTTGAAACTTCACTCCTAACAACAAAGCTTCCAATTCCAAAACGTTGATATGACTTCGTTGTTTCCACTGAGTAGAGTAACCCTTTGACCATGACCACCAAGAAGCAGAAACTGAATGTCGGGGAAAAGCTTTATTGTTGAATAACTCACCTGAAACCACTCTTACATCTGAGCCTGTATGATTGGTCCGTCGCAGCAATAACCGATTCATCAAAGACATGCCTGCATCTGAAAGTTGTGAATCAACTGCTGATGAACCATAACACAGATTTCGCTGCAAATTTGCAATGCTACGGAGGTGACCACAGAAACCAGGTGCCATTCCCATGCGATTTGTTAAGTGTTGGTATGTAAGTTGAGGGAGAAATCTTCGGCAACACACCACCGCCAACAAAACAAAAGAATAACAACTAAAGCAATCACCTAGCAATCGGTGCCGACAGTCAGAGAAACCCACTGGGTTTTGTTTTGCTTTGCTTGCACTCCAAGCGACTGCTGTATGATTGAAACCATATCCCAATAACAATTCTTTCTCTGTTGCATTGAGCAAGCGCCAAGAATTATCAGTAGTAATAAGAAACTGCTCACCGTATTGATAGGGGGGATATCTAAAACTATCTTCCCTCCAACGCCTCCTGGTTCCCTCGTCTGTTTTCTCAATGCCTGCTGGTTTTGGAGGCGGTCGCAATCTCGGAATGCTTTTTAGGCAGGTGGGGAAAACCGTCCCCCATTGTTCGCCTTCCACTTGTATCCTGGAGTCAACCATTGTTCAGTAGCTGGATAATCGGCAGGGGCTTTCACCTCTTTCCAGTATCGCTGGTTGCAGACAGTGACATCGGGTAGTGCGCTCTCTAAAGTTTCTGACGTCCAAGTAAATCTAGGCCGTCGCATTGGAACCGCATCCACGCAATCCAATTTGCATGGTATACTCTCCATAAAACTTGAGATTTCTCTTGCTGCAGTCTCATCCATTGATGCTACGTTCTCCAGCACATGCTTTACGATGACCTGGCTGCCAAACTCCTCTTCCATCAATTTGAGAATTCTAGGAATCTCCCAAAAGAGACTACTTTGAGGACCATCCAGATTCTGTCGATTAAATTTCACAGAAGATAAATCCACACATGGCCATCCGCCCCAGAGATGCAC